AAAGAGTGGCAGTTGCGTCACGACGTACGCAAAGACGTACGAAGCCGTCGCCAAGTAAGGGCAAAGACCTAGCGACGCGGAGGGAGAGCTAGGACGAGATGGACTGGACCAATTTTTGGCTGGGATGGGGGGAGAGAGGAGAACTAAAGGGAAAAAAGGAAAATAAGGAAAGGATGAACTTGGATATATTGTTGGCTGTACGGCGGAGCGTGGTCTAGAGTTTGAAGTTTAAGGAAGGCTCGAGCCTACCCTCGACCTGGGACTGATGCTCCCACAGAGGTCCGTCCGGTGGTTTGGTACGGCCTGGCCCACCGGACCTGCTAGAGCGTAGTCGGCCGCAGCTCAGCTGGGCTCCCGGCGCCGCCTCCTCCCAGCCTGCGGTAGGCTGCCGGGCTTCTGTGGGTGGGGGAAGGCTGGACTGATGCAGCGTGAGTATGGAGAATGGAGACGCTGACTCCTGGCGCGGGAGACTGGGGGAAGGGGTTGGCTCCTCAGGGGCAGGGATGGGGTGGGGTGGGCGGGGCGCGACGTTGCTAGGAGACGAGCCTGTGTGACCCACCCACCCCCCGCCCCCCCAGCCTCGCGAGGGCGGCTCGGTGTCACCGCCGCTGGCCTCGGCAACTCGCTAAGGGAAGCGGCTCGAGGGCCTGGAGGGGGAGCCCTGGATTGAGAACGCTGAAATGCTGGTTTGGGGTCCATCTGAGACTTCTCAATCCTTTGGATTCCCGAATGTAAATGGGAGATTAGTAGGGGCAAATCCGGGGGCGAGAGGCGTCTAGCTGAGGAAGTTTGACACAGACGAGTCCCCTACACCCAAAGGCGTTGCTCCGTGACTTTTTATTCGAGTCCGGGAGAAAGTTAAAAAGTAAATCAGTAAGATATCAGCAAGTGAGAAATGCGCCAAAGGTAGTAGGTGAAGTGGAAGAAGATGGGGGGAGGGCCACTCTAAAAAGGATAAGTCTGTTCAGAGGAGGCCGGGTTTACAGAAATCCGAGAAAAGAGGGAAGCTAGGGAATGAGCTTTCTAGGTGGAGAAATGAACCAACGGGAAGGGATCTGAGGAAGGAAATGGCAAGAAGGCCATGTGCTTGCAGTAGAAAGGAAAGAGCCAGAGCCAGAGGGGTCTGTGATGGAGAAGTGGCAGGGCCTGATCAAGCATAGCCTTTTAGCTCAAGGTGAGGGTTTAGCTGTTTTTTAAATGGAGGGTTTTAAGAAGGAGTGACCAGATCTGATTTACATTTGTAGAAAGTCATTCTTGGCTACTGGATAGAGAAGGGTAGACGTAGTCAGACCTGCTAGGAGGCTGTTGCAGTAGGGCCAAGGGGGAGGTGACAGTAGTGTTGTATTCACGGCGGAAATGGAGAGAATTAAATTTGGAATGTACTCTGAAAGTCGAGCTTGCAGGACTTGCTGCCAAATTGGATGTGAAGTGTATGGGAAAGGAAGGAACCAATGATGACTCCGCAGAGAAAATAGTTTGGAAGGCACTACTATTATTTTGAACATACTAGTTTTGGTAAGTCTATTAATGGTCCAAGTAAAGATGTTGAGAAGTTAAATATACAAGTCAAGGGAAAACTGCGAGATAATAAATGTAGCAGTTTATTCCTGGATCACCTAAGAAGAGGGTGCAGATAAAGAGGAAGGCCTCTAAACTCCTTGGGGCTCTTTACATGTAGAGATGATCCAGAGAAGGAAAAGCCAGCAGAGGAGACTCTTCACACACACAAAGCCTCCAAGATAGAAGGAGGCCCCGTAATATCCTTGAATAATGGGACCCACCCTCATAATCATCAAGACTCATCCTCAGAGGCCTGGCTCAGATATCTTTCCTCCTTTCCTCTGCCAGCTGTCAGTGCTTTTGGACTCCTGCTTAGGTGATTTGTGTTCATTATAGCAAACCTTACTTTGCTTATTAATTGTTTATAGGTCTGACTACCCTGTGAACTATTTCTTCTTTGTGCCCTGCTGACTCCTATTTCAGAGCCTTGCCCATGAACCCAACATATAGGAGCACTGTGTCCATAATGTATCAACCATGGACTTCAAAAGCTTCTGACAAAGGGGCATTTGTCCCCGCTGTTACTGCCACCTCCACCACTAGATATGGTTGATTTCATAAACTCTAGAAAGGGTATCAGAAGAATAATCAGAAGGCCTGGGTTTCAGTCTTGCATCTCTACTGACCAGCAGAATGGCCTTGAATAAGACCCTTTTCTTTGAGTTTAGGGGTTGGCCTAGATTACAGATTACAAACTGGCAAGACAGATATTGCCTACAAGTGTAGTTTGGCCCACAGATTGATTTAAATTATTTTTTAAAATTTACTTGCCAAATTTAAAAATCTGATTTTCGGCTTCATTTGGAAAATGAGACAATCTGGCAACACCAGCCTGAGGTTCCTACAGAGCAACAGTCAGCTGGAGCCAATGAGATTCTTCTCCCTTCTACCAGCCTAACCCCTGTGGGCATTTGATTTGCAATTTTTTGGTCTAGAGTTCTGCTGTCCATATGTAGCCGCAAGCTACATGTAGCTATTTAAATTTAAATGAAATAAAATTTTAAATGCAGTTCCTCAGATGTACTAACCGTATTTCAGGTGCCCAGTGCCAGTGGCTACCCTGTTGGACAGCGAAGATATAGAATATTTCCATCATTGAGGAACATTCTGTTGGTCATTGTTGGACTGGAGAAACTCGAAGGTACTCTGGTTGCTAATCATTCTGCGCACTAAAGACGGACAGTCATTGCTCCTACTCTAAAGGAACTTTGTCTAGTAAAGAGCTCCCGTGCTTCTGCAGGTGGGGAAAGTTGCTTATTCAATAGGTGGAGGGTACTTGGAAACTGTCGTGAAGGCGGAGACCCCCTGTGCAGGGTGAGGGTTATATATCAGGTAGTTGGATCAAGGGTTAGGTGTATCTAATGTTACAACCAGAGCCCTTTTGTCTGTTTCTTAATCCAGTTTCTTAGGAAATTATCACAAAGAAGGGGTTTGACTGTTTTAATTTAAATGTTTTGTGTTCTCTTGACTTCCCTAGTTCCTATGAAGGGTTCAAATCCTGGGTAGTTATGAACGAATGACTGGGGTTGATCTTCAAGCATTGACCAAGTTTTCACCCATTGCCAGCACATACACACAACACCCCAGACACACACCTCCTACTTCTGGTAACTTGTTCTCACTATCTCTTATTGACCCTTACCTTGTCTTTGTCTCTTAAAATATGATGATAAGGAAACAGTTGCTTCCATTTCTTTTGAATTGAGAGACTGAAACTTGGTTTCCATTTGGAGTTTCTATCCCTGAGGGGGCAAATTGCTGTACATCTCTTGGATACAAGAGCCTGATTGGAGTTCCCCTTACAAGTATAATCTTGTGTGTGCTCCTGTGCTGATATATTTAGGATGAATATATGTGCCTTACATGATCTTATTTGGGATAGTTTAGAAATCTTTCAGACATAAATATTTTTGGTTTTTCTCTGTCTTCTGAAGATTTCCCATGTTACAGGGCCTAACCTAATTTATTTTCCTTTAGATAAAAATATGATATACCCTTTCCTCCCTGACCCGTATCTCTGACATACCATATTGTCAATTTCTGTGTAAAAAGATGCTGTTTCAGAGAATAGCTGCCGTATGATTAAGTACACCACAGAAGCATATCCTGAGATATACAAAACAGTGTGTGGCATTACACTTCCCCTTTTGGATTCTAGTAACCAAAAACTGAATCCAGGTCAGGAAACAAGCCTGTGGGGCATGTATGGGGCGGGGAGATGGGGGCACTTGGTTTAGCTTGAAGGTTATTCAATTTAGGTAAGATGATACTGTATAGGATATGGGAATACATCCGAAAGTAAGGAAGGATAATGGATCTAGGAGAAAAGTGCACCGAAGGATAAGCAAGGAGTAAGAGATAAAGGAAGAAAAATAGGAAGGGAAGCTTGCTCATGCCCTTGGTGTTGGCACCTGCATTGTATTTCCAGTAAGAAGTCTGCTCTGTGGTCCGAAGATAAGCGATGCCTGGGGCAGGGTTATTTACTTATACTGAAGAACAATAGCTCTTTACTGTGCAGGGATTATTAATGATCAGAGGGAAACAGCTTTAGGAAAATCCATTACTGCCACAAAGCGATAATTTCACCAGCAGGCAGCAAAGTTTAGCAGAGATAAAAGAGGCCTCACTGTTCCTCCTTTATTTCCTCCTTTTCAGGTAACATTTGCCTTTGTTAACTCCCAATGCTAAGTGATTTACCTGGATTATTATGAACAATCCTTAAAACAACTCTTTGAAGAAGGTTCTGTTGTTTCCCCATTTTAAGAAACCGAGGCTCAGGAAGATTAATATCTTGCCTGATGTGGTGAAGTCAGGATTCAAACCCAGATCATTCCAGAGCCCATTAGTTCATTGTTTGTATTATATCTCCTGTCCTTTACATCTGTGGAAAATTTTTGAATGCCTAAAATCAAGGTAGTCATTCTCTATTCTGCTATCTGGGGCAAGAAAATCTGTTTGCTTTGACATTATAAGAATGCTTCAGTTCCCTGGAGGTTTTCCAAATGACAAAAGCTTTAAATTATAATTTTTTAGGTTGGTTTTGAACCCTCATCACTTGGTTGCAATGGACCTTATTCCCCCAAAGGATTGTTTTTAAGAAAAAAAATATCAAAAACTCATTTTTCTATATGTTTGATTCTAAGCTTCCTGGAAATATAGTATATCATTTCAGTCCTGTGGACAAACCCTAAGTGGCATTAAGAGAACTTAAGAGCGAGGGTTATGTAACAGCTGTGTATACTGCCCTAGATGGAAGTGAGAAGACTGCCTCGCTAAATAACACTTAATCTTCAATTCTTACCCTGACACCCACAGTGCCACTCTTGAAAACATCATTGTGAGGGTTAATTAGTATTTTTAAATGCTCTAGGGTCTTCTGTTGCGAAACCTGATCCAAATACCACTGCATATATCTCAGGATGAGAATGGTAATTACTGGTGATTATTCTGTGTGGGTAAATTTTTTCTTCTAACAAATGTATTTCAAGCTCCAACTCTGGGCCAGGCCTAGGAGTGTAATGGATGAGACATGGTCCCAACCTGCTTCTGTCTCTCCCTCCCAAAACACACACAGTGGAGGAAGAACCATAAGTCAAACAGAAAATTACAATAGAGTAGAATGAACATTATGATAGGGATATACACCAGAGCAGGGACGCTGACCCAGTGTGAAGAAGGCACCCTGTGAAAAGTGATGAAAGCCAAAGGATGAGAATCAACAGTTAAGCAAAAAAAGAATATTTCAGTTGTATAGGTTAGGGCCTTCCATTTGGCAAAAAGAAGGAGTCCCAGATCTAAGAAGATAGGGCAGTAGGACACGGGATAGGTCACTACTGGTACATGGTGAACACATACGATGGATTTCACT